GCTGAAAAACACAACCAGCCCTTTAAAGAAACAGCAAAAACTTCAGAAATGACCATTGTAGTGTTTCCAGCTCAGCCACACCAAACAACCTTAAACGCAATGAAATACAAGTGCATGCTGACAAAAATTATTTCTGTGGTGAGGAAAATAAAACTTACAACATCTAACACTCTTGAGGAGTTGTCAAAGTCGCAATCAAGAGATACTGAGTTTGCTGAGTTTGCACCAAGGTCCAAACCACTGATTACACTGAAGACCAAGAAAGTCAAATTAGGCTTTGGCAGAAAGTATTTGAAAGAATGTAAAATTTTTGTGAAAATCCTTGAATTAAAGCTGAAAGTCTGGATTTCAATCACATATTGATGGTTTCATTCACAATACAGTGTGTATACTGGCAACAATAAAAACTGTCTCTTTATTCCAAATTTTATGAAGGTTTCCTTTGGTCTTTGTTTCTGGGCTCGATCTACCTATTTAGTCACAAAAGCTTTTTTCCTACCACAGAGAAAATGGGTTAATGTTTTGTTTTGTTTGAAAATTATTGTTTTATCTAATGGAAATAACTTAGTGTCCAGTGTTTCTGTGACTAAATCATATTTCTTTATTAATTTCAGTAATTGGCCAGTTAACAGAGATAACAGTCATGCATCAATGGCAGCGCACCAAGACGGTCCTGAGTTTGATTCCGCCACCTAGCTGGAGCCTTTCTTTGTGTGTCTGCATGTTCTCCCCGTGTTTGCTTAAATCCTTTAGGTTTTCTAAGTTCATTTCTATTATGCCTAGGTTGCCATTATAGACTTTTTTATTAGATTCCCCTTTGTGTCTTCAACCCCTGTATTAAGTCTCCCTTGCCCTTCATGTGTTTCATGTCTGCGTGTCTTGTGTTGTCAAGTTCTTGTTGTCATGTCTGCGTCTAATTATGTTTCTTCTTTTATTTTGAAGACGTCTTGTGTTCCTATGTTCAATGTGTTTACTGTACAATATAAAGCGCCTTGAGGCGACTTTTGTTGTGATTTGGTGCTAAATAAATAAAATTTAAATTGTGTTTCCACTTCCCCGGATCACCTCATGTGAGCATTTAGTCTGTGTGTTTCCAGTTATTCGTCGTCAGGTTGTCTGCTAAGTTCACGTCATGATTCCAGGTCTTTCCATGTATCCATGCCAGGACTCCATGTTTAAGGCTTTTTCATGTTTTAATTGTAGTTCACCCAGTTTAGGTTATTGTTTACCCATATGGAAAAGAAATTTTTAGTAAGTATCCAAAACATACAAGTTTTATTATATAATTTTTCAAGGGATCTTATATGTGTTTTCACTCTTGTATGCTTTTCATACAAGTTTCATACAAGACAGATACAAACTTTATAAGATTTATATATATCTTTTCCATATGGGTAGTTTTACCTATGCCCTTTCTTTGTAATTTTTTTTTCTGCCAGCCTAAATAAAAAGCTTGTTTTCTATTAAAATTAAGTTTTGTTCTTGCGTGTCTGTGCTTGGGTCCTCTTCCTCATTCCACACAATCTGGTTCGCAGCCAGACTGTGATATCGCCCTGTGGTAGCTGAGATAGGATCCAGCCCCACCTACGACACTGTCAAGGATAAGTGGAAAATAATAATAGTTATTATTTAAATCGCTATAAATGACTATAGAAAAGAGAAACCAATGCAGAATTTGAACTAAACAACAAGGAAAACTCCTGCTTGGTTTTTGTCAAGTCGTACTACATTTTTGCAAAGTCTTCTTATTACCCCCCTACAAACAGCCAAGTATTTATAATCATATCAAAGGTTAGGGTCAGTCTACATCTCTTAAAAAAATGGATGTAGATGTGTTGTTGACCTGAAATAGAAAGCTTTTAAATCCTTTTAACTTATTGTTTGCAAACACAAGAAGAATATAAAAATAATCACAACAGTTTGATTTTTATTTTATTATTATGTTTCATTATTCAAATTGAGACATCTGCTCCTGTGTACACTTTAACGGTATTTCTCAGACAATGCATGAGCCACGGCAGCTAGGAACTTGTCCATCGCCACGTGGACCTCAGGAGTGAAATCGTTGGGAAACACAGTGGCCAGGACCACGAGGAGGTTGTGAGCAAGAACCTGTGA